CATGGAAGTGCACAGAATCTTCAGTTAAACTGTAAGCTCCTCATGGCAGGACCCATCTGCTAATCCATTTGGGCCAGGCCCGATCCTGATTCTCCTCTCTATCTAGCTTCTCACTGACCCCTCCCCTGTACTGCTTACTTGGTTCTATTTTCTGAATCTAGGGCTGAAAAGTGTATTGATTATACCACTTTCAGGCAAGCTCTTCTTACACAGTATCTCAAATCACTGTTTCTTCTAGTTATTAAAGGCTAGATCCACAAAGAGATCTTAGGCTCAGTATTGGCATGACCAATTTTAGGCACCCTGCTGCCCATTGGAATCTTCAGCCCTAAATTAGGTGTGTAGGCTCCTTATACAATGCATGGGGACTGGAGAGTTAGGCACCTAAGAATGGGAGTCACAAAAGCCAGCTCATTGAGCAGGGAGCCACCTAAGTTACCCAGTAGGAAATGGCTAGGAAAGGGGTAGGGAGTGGGGGATGGAGGGGCTTAAGTTTCACCTGTCAAAGGGAGTTAGGATGGGAGTTACCTACCTGTGGACTCCACTTGAGATTCACAGCCAAGAACCCTCTCCTGGAGTTAGACACCTTTTAGAAGTTAGACAGCTTTTCTCATTGAAAATGAGATGATGGTACAGCCCCCTCTTATTCCATAACCCACAGGTTAGAGCCCTGATCTCAGATGTGGGAGATCCCACATTCTAATCCTTACTCTGCCTGAAGTAGGGCAACAACTTGAACACAGGTCTTGCACCACCTACAGAAGTGCCCTAACCACTTGTTTAGCCTGAGGTGGAGCACCTGAGGTGGCGCACCCAAGCTCTCCTGCAGAAGCTGTTCCATTTTAGTCGTTGAGCCAGTGAGAGCATGCGAATGCCTATGGCCTAGTTGTTACACACAGTCATCTGGAAGACCCAAGTTCCAATCTCTGTTCTACACCAGGTCTCAGGATATGAGGTGCCACACTCAGAATGAAAGGCCACTTTTAACCGTTTGGCCCAAATAACTTGTCCAAGGTCACATCTGTCAGTGATAAAGTCACAAACAGAACCCAGGTACTTTGACTTCCATTCCCTTTCTTTTTACGTTTAGACCATACTGTTTTATACAGGCACACACAGCCTGTGTTTTTGTACCTCGACTTTTATATATGATACTGAAACTTTTTCAATTGGTGCTTCATGAGGCTTGTGCGCAGTTGGCTGTCACACTATACAGTAGTTGCTTTATATTAAAGAGACCTGTGAGCAGTTCAGAGTTTATATTGATGTTTTAAAGAATACTGGGCCAACTTAGCTGCAATTAAATAATACCCTTTCAAGCTAGATATTTTAAGATGGCTGCATATTGAAACTACTGTTTCAACTGAAACTGTTTCCATATGTCTGAAATTAGGTGCTACAATTAGTGGGAGTCAGCAGTGCATAATTCAAAACAGCACACAAAACTCTGGTATTGCTTTAGGTGAGATACACATTGCTATTGGCAGTTAGAAGTAATTGCTGGAATGTAGCACGCTGTAATAAATTAAATGTGATCTATGCTAAGCATGCATGCTTGCCATCTGGTTGCCAGAGAGTCGCTGTTATTACTTTGCACGTAAATACAAGTGATGTTTAAATGCAGGGAACTGAAGTGTGCCATATGCATAAACTCCCAAATGATTTAGGGCTCCAGTCCCTTCGACTCAACATTTGTTTTAAAATATGAAATAATAAGACAATTTGGAATTGGAGGTCTCCTTTCTTTGCAATTATCACAAACTACAATAAAATGAAGCCAACATATTAGACACTGCAACAATAAGGCCATTCTGTGAATGGATTGCTTTGTAGCATGCTACCTGGAATACGCTGAATAACACTGAATTCCTCCCCTTACCTAAGGTATTTGCTGATTTCTACTTGTAGGCGTCTCAATCCTTAGAGCCCTGCAAATTTGCGGATATCTACTTTATATCTGCAGATGTCTGACCATATTTGCAGATGGATGCGGATCCAAATTTTATGTTCAGAGCCCAGCAAACCTGCAGATATCTGCGGACCACGTTAGCGGATTGCGGATTGGATGCAGATACAAATTTTGTGTCCACACAGGGGGCTATCAATCCTTTAGCTGCTGCACATGCAGAAATTCCACTGACTCGCATGCAGACTGACTCGGCCTGTATTTGCACACCTCTAGGTGGACACACTTTACTGGGATGACTTCAGTGGGAACTGTGTACACAAATAGTAGCTTCAGAATCAACCTCGGATGAGCCAAATCCTGCCCTGGTTTACACTCTTTGCAAACCCAAGTCAGGGCTGAATTTCTTCTCTCTGAGCATCCCCTGTAGAAAGGTTACCAAGGAATCGTGTGAATGAGGACACACAAATCACACTCTTCTGTGATCAAACTAGAGAGGGAGTGGTCACCAATCCTGGTGTAGCTATTGTCATAGGGCTCAACATTACATGGTAAAGTGGCATTACATAACCTTATGGAGATGGCATACAACTGGTGGAGATGCTGAGAGCCTAAGAAACTCCTCAGCCTGGCACCTCCTGCTACTTCTACTACAGATTCCCTTGTTTAGTGAGTCCCAACCCCAGCATGGGGGGGAAGTTCTTTCTCTGCTTTTACCAAAGGACGGGAAGCAGGAAGCAGTTTTCCCTTGTCGTCCCCTTATTTTAACCCTTTATTGGATTAATAAAGTAACTGCTAAGGACACCGGCCTCTTCAGTGAGCCTAGAGGCTTTCATTCCTTCAATGAAAAGAATGCACTTAAAAGTTTCTCTCTAGACCAGAACAGCTGCTGCCCTCCCATGACTTCTTACATAGAAGGGTGCATTTTAGTGAATAGACTTATGTATTCCTTTGGACAGGTACTGCTTACTCCTTTCTTAACCAAACCAGGGCCCAATCCTGGAGAAAGCTAACTGAATAACTCCAGTGATGGCTGATATGGTTTGACTCTTCACGTGTATTGTTAATTTTTAACAGTGACAATCCTTATGACCCTTTAGCAAGGCAATTGCTTTCAGACTGTGGGTTGGATCCTCAGTTGGGGTAGACAGGCATAATGGAACACTGATGTGTGCCAGCTGAGGTTCTAGCCCTTTAAATTAAAACACTGTCAAAGCCCTGCTATGGAGCTAACATATTCTTCTGTGAAGAAAACAAACAAAAACTGAAAAACTGTACAAAGCATCCTCCCTTTGGATGCAAAATTTGAGGGAAATTAAATCACAACTTAATTTATTCATATCTGATCTTTTCATTTAAAGGTCAGGTTTTACACTGAGATATCTATATGTGATTTTCACTGAATTCAGTGAGAACCACGTATGGCTATCTCAGGGCAAAATTCTCACTGAATTCAGTGTGAATTCCATGAACATATCCAAGAGTGGAAATTTGGCCCTAAATGTCTATGAACTGAATCATTAAACTGCTGGGATGGGGGTGGAAAACTGTGCCCAAATAAATTTGTTAAGTCTCTAAGATGCCACAAGGACTCCTCGTTTTTGTGAGAATTCTGTATATCAACAGATGATTTACTAAGGCTTAGTCTACACCACAAAGTTTTGCCAGCATAGGTAAGTTGGCTAGAAGTGTGGGAGGAAAAATCATACCACCAGCTGACATAGCTATGTTGGTAAAAACCCCAGTGTAGATGCAACTATGCCAACATGAGTGCTTCTGTTGACATAACTAGTGTCATCAGGGAAGTGGTGTTACTATGCCAGCGGAAAAACTCCTTCTATTGTATACACTGTATATACACTAGAGGGCTCTGCTGGCATAGCTTTACCAACAAAGCCTTTGTAGTGTAGACAAGCCCTTATTTATTTGGAGATGTATATTGATCCCCAGCACGATGGCATGGGGAGCCTAACTTCAAAGAAAATAATCAACACAGTCTAACAGAATAAAACTGATCTTTCTTTTTGTTAATAACTCACCCCATTCTCTATTTTATTCCAAAGGAAAAATCAAAAGTTTGATTTAACAAACAAAACACATCTGAAAAGCACTGTAAACTGATCATCTACCTCTTGAAAGACCACTAGAGGGAGCAGATTTTACCAACAGTCCACCGAGGATACCTCACCACTAACGAAAGTGTAAACCCAGAGATAGCAACACAACAGATCTTAATTTCTGTATTAGGGTTTCATTAGAGGGAATCTCTCAGAAAACTAGTTGAATTATCAGTGTAAGCAAAAAAGCAAAACAATGCATTGTGTAGCAGATCTATATGTTCTTTATTTTCTGTTGTTTGTAATGTATAAAATAACCTCTTTTCAATATTGTCATTTTTCTTTTAGCAAATGTGATTTTTCCCTTCTATTTTTCTTTTGTTTACTCTTTTTTTCATATTAGCGTCCATGCACATAGCATGTACGAGGGAGTGGGGTTTCTTAATTAACTAGTATGTCCTTCTTCCACAGAATTACAGAAAAATTATTGGGTCAACGTAAGCAGTGGCTCTTTTTGGTTTATTTTACTTTAATTTGTTGGTGACAGTGGTAGTTATTTAACAGGGACATGGACACCATCAGTTGAAAAATAACCCCATTTCTGTCAAATTTTGACCTTTTGTTACAAGTAACATTTAAAATTACTAGAACTGAAAGAGAATGGAGAAAAATATTTTTCTGTTTTCTCCTTCTATCACATTTGTTTACTTTCTGAAATTAACAATATCTTTATGTGTGTGTGCCAGTTTCAACATTTTTCCAGTATAGTCAATTTTCACCTGTTGCTTGTGTGGGTCTTTCACAAAGCAACAGGGGAGAGAGAAACATTTTTAAAAGTAGGAAAATGTGATTGTATAACCACACAGATGTAGTACTTGCAACTACTTTTAACTCATTTCTTGAAATTAACTAGATTTCAAGTTGACAGTGGCACTTTAAGATGAGAAATATACATTCTGGAGCAAAGGTTATAAGGAGACTGAATTCAGGGCCAACATTTACTTGACAGTATCCCTTTAACATGCCAGTGAACTTACCTCTCCCCCAGTGCAAGGAAGGGGACTTGAATATCTTGAAGTGCAAATTGCTCCTTTCTTTGTCACATCATCCTCTAGGCCAAAAGTTGCCGAACAGTTAGTGGAAAAATACTTGTAAGGCTTCCATGTTTTCCCAAAATCCTGGGACCGCTCCAGAACCATGGCTGCTGGCCTTGGTGACTTAAACACCATGATTATGTGAGTAAAGTAAAACTCAGCTTCCAAATCCAGCTGGATCCTCTCCTTGTGCACATCCTCAGCTGACTGCCACCATGTGCGAGGCAATCGGAAGGAAGAGTCGGCCATTGCAGAGGGCGGGTGAGCCAGATGGGTGTGAGCAGCATTGCATTTGTCACACTTGGGCCGCTTGCATGTCAGGTCCGCATTCTCACTATACGAACAGTAAAACTCGGTGGAGTTGCGTCCACATGTGGTATCTGTCCACAGTCTTCGTCCATGGGCTAGGTTTCCCATTCGAGGGTTGCATGCTTTTTCGCAATGGGACCCAACTCCAACAACACTGCTCAGTCCTAGGTGAAGGAAAGTACGTGTTAATCTAAAGCAATTGATCTTTAACGGCATTGCTCTCAGACGACTGCATTCAGGTTACCATGTGAAACAGCTCCCTGTGTAACCTTCACACCAGTGTAGCTAAATCCTGCACTGGCCAACACAGAGATCAAGAAGAGAAGCCCAGAGTCAGGGGCTGAAGGGAACTGCTGCAGACTAGGGCAGCCCTCAGGACTGCACCTGTTTCAGTGGCCAGAGAACACCTGGAGCACAGGCCTGCCCCAGCCATACTTCCTCCTGGTCCCAAAATGCCCCCGGCTATTCCACTGAGGGGCATTTACAACAGCCCTACAGCCCCTTTGCCTCAGCCTAGCTCCCTCTCCCTCTGCAGTGGATGCTACATTAAACCCCATGGGCAGTAGATGCCGCCTAAGGCTTAATGTGGTAGATAAGGAACGCTCCAGGGTTCCCTGGAAACCACATGCAGGAAAAAGTCCTATTGGGTAGTTTCTAGGGAACCTTGAGGGTTTTTTAGCTACCACAATAAGCATTACGGAGCACTCCCTGGTACGGCAGCCACCTCAGTTGGGAAAGGGAATATTCCCTTCTCTTGCTGTCCTGTGTTAGGGGAAACCAAGCTGCTTCCTGAGCTATCCCAGAAAACCCTGAGGATTTGAAGTGGGGCAGTGACCCTGTCTGAATACCCACAAAGATATATTGGTATCTCAGGGTATGGCCATACAACCCCTCTCCTCAAGACCCCAGAAAGAGACCCATCCCATCACAGGACAGGGAGGAAGCCATGAAGAAAGCAGTAAGTAGCGTGGAGGTTGGGTGGTGCTAGGGCTTACTGGGCAGATGAGATAGCTGAGTTCTGGGTAGGAGACAGGGAGGTGAGTTGTGGAGGGATATTCAAGCAAGGTGCTTCAGTATTCCTACTGAGCCTGGAGGTTGTTTGCATAGTAGGAACACTGAAGCATCCCCTCCCCAGGTGCTGCAGAGGTCAGGATTTAGCCGGTACACTGGTTCATATTTTGGAAGTTTGTCACTAATGGTGTGTAAAGAAAAAATTCCACTGTTGAAATGGTGCTGGCAAGTTGCCCTGTAATTTAGTCTACGTGGTTTTTGTTCAGGTTTGTCTAGAAGTCTTGTTGATTTAAAACTCATGCAATTACAGTGTCTACACAGAAAATAAAATCACCACAGGGGTTCAGTATGAAATCTTTAGCAAAGTTACAGTCATGGTTTAGTAATTTTTATTATAAACTTTCCACCTATTAATGAAGCTGACAGTCAGTCAGGAACTAGATTGTATTTTATGACCCATAGCCATTTAACTTAAAAAAAATAAACAAAACAGTTCTGATGACTTGAAAATGGGCATGCCAAAATATTTGAGGTGCATAATGTGTTCTTTATCACTGGGCCAAACATACACAATAAGCTTTATGCATTAACGATTATGGTTTCTTCTTGGTCTTTTTGCTAAGTTCAAGTGTCATTTTGGTTTACTATCCAATACATCCTCTATCTGGGGGCTATTACTGTTATTCAGCTTTGGTATATATTAGTTGCACTGGAGTTCTATCCTGCATTAGCAGAGGGGTAGATTTAATGATCTGATAAATTTTCCCTCACCCCCATTTCTAATACCAAGGATCTATGCAAGTTTTTTATACAGATTACTCAGAAAAGCTGTGGAACATTGTTTATAAAGCACTTACAAATGGGCAGATTGCATTGGCTAAAAATATCTTGGAAAGATTTTAATGACCAAAATACTCTGTGAAATAATGTATCCCCTACAGGGATAAGAAATTAAGTGCACTAAAAAGGACAGTTGCAGGCAAGAACTAAAATAAGACAGTCTCAGCTCACATTTACAAAATACACTTATGCCCATAACAGTGAATAAATACAACTGTAAAATTTACAGAACAACACTTATCCCTTATAGAGATCCTTTTCAAAGCACTGACCAAACATAAACTAATGGACACAGCTCTCCTGAGAGATAGGGAAGTAAGTATTTTACCATGTGCGTTATCAATTAGGCTTACCATGGGCTGACTTAATTTATGTGTTGGCTGCTTTTTTGGATTCTTTAGCTACATTATTGTAGTGAAGTTACCTGTTAAATAAACAGGTGAACGTTTACGGTAGCACCCTCCACCATTACATTTCAAATTACTACCTCTAATAGCAAGCACTCTTGTGAAGAAATAAATATGTCAGTTCTCAGTCAGGACTCCAATACGATTTTTAATGAGTATCCATATTGATCAAGTGCTATCTTTGTGCTCAATATTGTATAGTATATAGAGGAAAACGTGGACTAAAATCATTGCCCTGCTAAAGTCAATGGGAATTCCAATGGAGCCAGGATTTCACCTATAAGTTCTGCCCCAAGGATCTTACAGTAACTATTCAGATGCAAAAGCATTATACTTAAATTGACAAATGGATTAAAGTAAATAAAACACTTTCTGTAGTCCTTTTAGGCCTGTCTCTTCGGGGCTCTGTCCTGCAGAGCTTGTCCATGACGTGCTGAGCACACAACTCCCATTAAAGTCCATGGCAGGTGAGGATACTCAGAAGTGGTTAGCACCTGCTAGCATCAAAGCCTTATTTCTATACTCCCAGGGGCTTTGAATCAGGCCCATAGTTTTCATTCCTCATTTGGGAGTGGATCCTGCTCCCACTGGAGTCAATGGGGACAGGTTCAGGCTGTTGGAATTCACAAGCCATTGCCTCTTATATTGGGGGAAAAAACAAAACCTTTGAATAATAGGAGGGTTTTTTTTTTCAAATGAAAAAAATAGAATGATGGATGCAGAGTGCTGCAATTTGTGAGATGTGACAGTTTTCTGGCTTACTGCTGTTTACCACAAGAATACTGCAAAATTGACAGACTGGAGCATAAAGATTTTCACACTGTCAGCCACAAACTCACGTCAGCTCTTCCATTACCAGAAAGAGGTGCGTCTCCATACCCCTTAATGGTTATGCTTAACCATATGCTATTTCATACTCTATATACTGTGCATACCACTGAACGGCAATCTTTAGTAATGGACAAGAGCACACAAGGTACACCATGACTCACCTGTAAAATATCCAGGCCTAACATATGCTTCCTGTTTAAGCATTTTTTCAGTTGACACACATGCCTAGTAACATTTCACTTACGCCCTTGCAATTGATTATATGATTTTTCTATAACAAGCTGATAATGAGGTTTGTTCAAAAAGAAAATCAGCCCATGGCTTGAAAACGCTCCAAGAAAACATATAAACAGTTTATATAACACAATATTAAAGCCTAATTGTGAAGTGTTTTGAGATCCTTGTTAAGTACAAAGTGTTTATTATATTAAATACATTTGGCAAGGGTAGGAAAGGGGTTTAAAGCTTTGGTTTATCTGTGTGCTAGTTTTGCCATCAGTACTGTAAAGATAATTATAAGCATGACTAAAAACTTTATTTACTACATTGTGAATTCTGCTTTTCTCACTCCCCTCCAATACTGAAGTAATGGTTCCCACACCACAAAGATAACTGACACCAAGATTGTTAGAGCTACATTATCTTGTAGATCTTAGCTGGTAAGACTCAGAATAAGCAGTAAGGAACAATCTCAGTGATACACTGTTGTACTATATGCTAACCAGATACCAAGGAGCTTCTAAATAAATAAGTCAGCCAAAGGGAGTGAATGAAAGCTATCTTATCTTTACTTCATGTAAAGGTGCTATGAGCAACATGAGCGTAGGCACTGTGGGGTGTCAGTGCTAAGGGTCAGTAAAGTCCAGGCATGTTTATCTTATTTGAGATCTTTAGATTGCTTTGCTTGTGCATAAACTTGAAGTAGCAGTTACTTCAGAAAGAATGCACGTGTCTGACTTTTCCCTCAGAGTCAGATGTGATAAAGGGATAGCTCATAGAAATTACAGCTGGAAAACACTTATTAGGACACCCACTCCATCGCCTACCAGGGCAGCTACAGTGCACTGTTTGGTGCTTTGCCCAGTCTAATTCTGGCTGTCTCACATGGTGAGCTTCCTAAACTTTCAGTGTCAAGAAGCTTTTCTTCGTGTTTTGTTTAAATATTCCTTTTTTCACTTTCAGTCTCATTACCTCCTAGTTATATCCCTCTCCAAACTATTCCAGACAGTCACCATGTCCCCTCTAAGATGTTGCTTAGCCAGTCTGTACCTACAGTATTTAGCCGTTGAAAACTCCCCTTACTGCTGAGGCTGAGGAGATGGACACAAGACTGCTGGTGTGCATCTGCAGTGTTGGATCGGTAGCATTGTGACAAGCTGCCCCATATGGAATTTAATTTGCATTCCTGAAAATAAATTCTGGGAAAACGAGAACTGACTTGGGAAATACGCCCATAGTATGTCCAGGAATTAGTGGGAAAGGAAAGTGAAAAAGAGAGAGAAAGGTGACTTGAACATAGAACATTTTACTGTTTGAGGACCCCTTTCTGAGGAATCAATAAAAACCCAAACAAAAGAACCTGAGGTGTGAATGCACACTTTTCAGAAACACTGACTGTTCCTGACCATAGAAGAGGCACTTTTTCCCTTTAGAGGCCATTCCAGCTATAGCTAAAATAATCCAAGCTCGGTTATTCTCTTTCCTGCTAAGGAAGCTCCTGTTCCCTGTATCCATATGCAGAAAAAGGGCTGAGGTTAAAAAAGCAACTTAATGGCATTCACCAGTATGCTACACTGTCATCTTTCCTTCTTGGACGAACTGCGTCTTCCTGATGTCTTCCCTGGCTCTCCCATTCCACTTGACTTTTCACACTCTCTTATGAACTTGTTAAAGAGCCGATCACATTTTTAAAAAGCGAATGTTACATCTTTTCCTTGAGAGGCGGCTAAGGAACACTGAGATCCGAAACCTGTACAGGAAAAGTCTAAGGGTGTCTGTTCATATACACGGTGGTGTACATTGCAAGTAAAACTCTTCTTTGTTCGTTCTGAAAATGATAATCGGGCTAGAAAGATAAACTTTGATCGTTAAGGGTAAATACTGCCCTTAACCAGCGGCTTACATATACTGCTGTAGAAGGAGGAAGATAGGGAATATGAAGCGATTTCATAGTCTGAAACTGTGTTCCCCAGCAGCTTTTTTCCTTTCTAGAGGTTAAGGATGGGGGAGAAGGTTTAGAAGGAATGAAAATACATCAAGACCCACCTGCAGCTACAGCAGAGCAGCCCAGAAGTGCAATGAGCCAGACCCAGCTCTCCATGGCCAAACTCCTGGTCAAAGTGCATGAATCAAGGAGGAGGACCAGGAGCCTGGAATCTCTTCTGCACATGAAGAAGGTTCTCCAGAGCAAATCCTTCCCGGCAGGTCATTCATTCGCCACTCACTGGCGTGCTAAGGGCAGGAGGGAGGCTCCAGCCCCCGAGTCTCCCCCGGGGAGTGACATCGCGGGACAGCTGCTGGCTCCTCCAGCCCCCGGGGAGCCGCGTGCCTCGCTGAGAACATTTAACTTCCCCGCGGGGACCCGCCGGGCTCCTGCTGCTCCCGTGCAGTGCATGGCAAGCCGAACTCTCCCGACCTTTCACTTCCCGGCCGCCGCCGCCTCCTGCGGCTGCTTCCTCCCAAGGGGCACTTGCAGGAGGTGCATTTTATTGCATCGGTCCCGATCTCTGTGTCTGTGGCGCCCGGGCCCCCTCCCGCGCTGGCTATCCCCTCCGTTGACAGCCCCTGGCACAGCAGGCTGTAGCCTCGCCGTACTGCAGCGGGAGCACGGAGCCAGCCAGCGCGAAGAGACTGGCTGCCGCTCCAGGGGGCTGGGGGTTGACACCGCCCCCAGCCACATCTCCTCCAGCGCAGCTACCGGCGCCCGCTACCACCCCGCCTCCCTGTGTCCCCAGGAGCAGCCTCCCTCAGGCCGGGGGCGAGCGCCTAGCTCCGACTGCCCGCTGCTGGCGGGAGCGTTCCGGGGGGCACGGGCTCGCCCGCCTCAGACCCGAGCGTGCTCAGAGCCTCCTCAGTCAGATGGACAGGACAGCAACTGCTCGGCCAGCCCCAGCCTTCCCTGGCCTGCTCCGACCAGCGCTTCTTCCAGCCACTCCGCCCCGCCCAGCTAGTCCCCTGCTCCCTGCCCAGCTAGTCCCTGTTCTCCCCACTCCAGCCCAGCTAGCCCCCTGCTCCCCTCCCCCTCCAGCCCAGCTAGCCCCCTGCTCCCTGCCCAGATAGTCCTGTTCTGCCCCCTCCAGCCCAGCTAGTCCCCTGCTCCCTGCCCAGCTAGTCCTGTTCTTCCCTCCAACTCAGCTAGCCCTTCTCCCCTCCAGCCCAGCTAGCCCCCTGATCCCTGCCCAGCTAGTCCTGTTCTCCCTGTTCCAGCCCAGCTAGCCCTTCTCCCCTTCCCCCTCCAGCCCAGCTAGCCCCTTGCTTCCGGCCCAGCCCAGCTAGCTCTCCTGCCCTTCCAGCCATCCCCTCTGTCACCCATTATCCTTCTTCCCTCTCAGCCAATAGCTCTCCCAACCATCTGTCTCCAGCTCAGTTCCTTCCCACCCCCCTTCCTTCCTTCCGTCATTGCTACCTCCAGCCATTTTGCCCCAGCAATTTCCCTCTCCTATCCAGATCAGCCACCCCATTGCCACAGCCACCCCCTTCCCAATCAACCCCTCCTGCTTCCCAGCCCTTATCCCTTGCCCCCCCCCCCTCAGCCCCAGCCCCAGCCCCACAGCTCAGCCATTCTTTAGTCCTACATCCCTTGTGTCAAATGGCCCATGAAGCAGAGACAACTCACTTCCAGGCTCCCACCTGAACACCGCTGGGGCCTATTTGACATAAGGAGGGAGGAGGGCTGGATTGGAGACTGTGCTGCCCTGAAAGCCATTTGCTTGCTTGTGCTTTAAACACACCAGTGGTTCCCAAACTTCAACAACCTGTGAACCCCTTTCACTAAAATGTCAAGTCTCGTGAACCCCCTCCTAAAAATGAATATTTCCAAGGATTTTCTCCTTTATCTGAGTATAAATTATAAAAGCAGTGATCTGGGAAATATAAAATTTGTTTTTATGACATGCATATTACACACTATTTATTATTTATTATTATTTATCATTACAGTATTTTTATTACATTATGAAAATGGCGACACTCTTCCAAGATCTCACTTTTGTAGCTTGTATCACTTTGAATAAGCCTGTTATAAGACAAGGCTCCTATGTTTCATCAAGGAGTATCAGATCTGAAACATCATGAAGGTATTTAAGAAGCCAAGTCAAAGAGTTCCTCCTACACAAGCATTCAGGTCTTGAGCAGTCCAGGCAAACAATTCACATTACAACAAAGCTTAAACTTGTTCTTCATAATAATTAAAAAAAACCAAACAATAATAGCTGCCTATTTAATTTTAAAAACAGCAAAAAATATCCACCTCCCTTTCCATTTCTTATACCGAGTCTTGAAGTTTAAATCTCCTCAGTGTGATAGATAGGCTTGCTTTGATCTGCTTAGCTCGTGGAAGTCCAGTGGCTCCAGGCTGCTGGCCCCGTGCTGCCCGGGGGGTCCCTAGGGACAGCTCTGTCCGCCATTAGGGATTTTTTTTCCGAGAACCCCCTTTAACATTTCACAAACCCCAGTTTGGAAACCACTGAAACACACACACATTCATGACAATCCCTACACCAGAGTGACAATATAAAACAGTGCTCATCATAATACACTTGTACGTGATTCTCTTCATCCCACCCCCACATTTCACCTCCCCTTCTGCTAAGTGTGAGCTAGAAATCATTAGGACCTTCTGTCTCCTCAGCAGCCACCAGTTGGATGAGACACAGAAGTCTGGATCCAGTCCTCTCAGAGAGGTGACAGTCAGTCTGCAGCACAGCACTGCAACTATCAAGTGGTAAGCACACAAGAGATTAGCCTGGTGGGTATGGAACAGTGAGTTCCTGTCTAGACACACACATGCATACTGTACAAGTCTAGCTGAGGGTTAAAGAAAATGACATCAGTGGTGGAAATGAGAAGCCTACTCTTGTGTTATGTAAATCTGCACTGAAAATTAGATATTCAAAAGCTATCAGCCTAGTTTGTATTACCGAAATAGAGATAATTGAATACTTGGGGGAAAATGGTACAGTTCTACAACCATAATGGATTATAACAGGACTAGATACCTCTCAGAGGGCATTTTGATAGCCCATACACACGAGAGGATTATAAAATCTATGATCAATGGAGCGATATTTATAAAGCATTTTTTAATCTGGGGGGGGGGAGGTGAAAGATGATCTAAATATGAGAGCAGTTGTTTTAAAATAAAGTTATCCAAGTTCAAAGTGCAAAGAATAAAGGCTGAAAAAATTCATAACAGTTGCAACATGCTCACCTTCCAGGTTAGATTCAGATAAGTAAAAAAAGTGATTGTTCAGAAGCTTTCCACGCTGGTTCTTTTAACCCTCCTGTGCTGAGAATGAACATCAGAAATTGCAACTTAAAAAGGTAATTATTTAAGAAAAATACATATTTTGTGAAAAGCCACGGCTGATGGGCTACAAGAATATTCCCCCATCCTCCACCATAAATGATGGGCCCAGAAAGCATCTCTATAGTCTGCAGCTTTCAACATAGTACACCACAACTATCCTCTTCCACTACACCACCCCAAATGTCCAGGCAAATCCTACTTGTGTATTTCCTACAGATATCCTACTTGTGTATTTCCTCTTCAAAGATCTATTCCATTCTACTAATGTTGAAAAACTAGAAAGGGTTCAGAAAAGAGCTACAAGAGTGATTCAAGGTCTGGAAAACATGCCTTACAGTGAGAGATTTAAGAACTCAATCTACTTAGTTTATCCAAGAGAAGGTTAAGAAATAGCTTGTTCATGAATGAGCTATAAGTAGCTACATGGTGAAGAGATTTCTGATAGTAGATGGCTCTTTAGCAGAAAAAGGCATAACAAGATTAAATGGTTGGAAGCTGAAGATAAAAATTTGCATCTAAATTTGTCTAACAGTGAGGGTGATTAACCATTGGAACCACTTTCCTGAGCACATGGTGGATTTTCCGTCACTTTAAGTCTTTAAATCAAGACTGGAGACCTCTCCACATGTTATGCTCTAGTTTAAACAGAAGTTATACACTTGATTCAGGAATTACCAGGTGAGGCTCTATGACCTGTGGCATACAGGAGGTCAGACTACATGATCATAATAGTTCCTTCTGGTCTTAGAATCTATGAATTATATCATGGCAGATTAGTTCTAGGAAGGAAGGAAAAACCTTTGAAATTTACCTGGTTCTACTGCATAATCTGTCAGAGTAACCAGAAACCAATGAAACAAGAAACATTTCCAGGGTTTCAATTACAGTTTCTCTCTTAATTTGATCACTGGCTAATTTGATCCTCCTTTTAAATTGATCTAAATGTCAGGAATAAAAAAAATCACCTCTGTACTTAAAAGTATAACCTCCACCCTTTTTTGGGTGCTAATGAGTAATGCAACTACTCGCTATGGAAAGTTGCTATTT